GCCCCCCCCGCGTCCCCAAACCCCCCCCCGCCACACCCCCACCTCTTCTCCCAAACCCTAACCCTTACCCTAATCGCCTGCAGCTCTCCCTCCTCCTCCTCCAAACCTCTCCATTCTCCACCTCCTTCCTCATCACCAAAACCCCCAAAAAATTCAAAAAAAAGCGCAAGAAAGACGAAAGCCCTCGAACGAAGCTCGTCCAGACCCAACCCAACCTCATCCCCCACTTCGAGCACATCGTCGAGCGCGATGCCCACTTCCGGTTCCTCACAAAATCCAGAGACTTCCTCTCCAAGCAGCCCCACCGCGTCCTCCGCCTCGACGACGCCGGTAAGCTCCACCGAGAACTCGGCTTCCCTCGCGGCCGGAAAATCGCCCGATCCCTCCAGCGCCACCCCATCCTGTTCCAAACCTACCGCCATGTCGACAACAAAATGTGGATCGGCTTCACCGAGTTCATGGAAGATTTGCTCGAACAGGAACGAGTCATTGTCGACTCAATGGAGTCGGACCGAGTTAACAAGGTTCGTAAATTGCTTATGATGTCCGCGAACAAGCGTATCCCTTTGAGTAAAATCTACCATTGCAGGTCCTTATTTGGAATCCCAGAAGATTTTCGGGACCGGGTTTCGAAGTACCCTAATTATTTTCGAACTGTGGTTGAGGAAGGTGGGAAGAGAATGCTTGAATTGGTGAATTGGGATCCGTTGTTGGCGGTGAGCACTTTGGAGAGGGAGTTTATGGTTGACGAGGAGAAAGTGAAGAGGGCTTTTAGGTTTCCAGTGAAGCATGGGAAGGATTTGGGTTTGGAAAAAGAGGATGAGAGGAAATTGAACTTATTGAACTCGCTACCTCTGGTTTCGCCGTATTCGGATGGGTCAAGATTGGACCTTTGGACTCTGGAAGCGGAGAAGTACAGAGTGGGAGTGTTGCATGAGTTTTTGAGCTTGACATTGGAGAAGAGGGCTTCTATACACCATGTTGTGGAGTTCAAGGAGGAGTTTAGTTTGACCAAGCATACTTATCAGATGCTTTTTAAGCAGCCCAGAACGTTTTATCTCGCGGGGACAGAGATGAATTGGGTTGTTTTCTTGAAAGATGCTTATGACCAAAATGGGGTTTTGATTGAGAAGGATCCGCAGGTGGTTTTCAATGAGAAGCTGTATAAGTATGCTGAAATGAAGGAAATGGAACGGGGTTGTGTTGATCAATGGAAATGACAAGAGGGTTTGGACAATTTAAGCGAGTTCTTTGCTTGTGCTTCAAGGAATGTTGTGTTATAGCTTGAGGAAGCTTGGACCTAGAAGGAATTTGGGTGCATCAGAGGTATCTTGGTTGGTCCTTGACATAACTGTATCTTGTGTTGCAAGGTTTTTCGAGTCATAAGAAATCATAACATGTGATGTATATAAAGCTTGGTGGTACCTTGTGGAAATTTGGATTATTTATCAACGATATGTCATTTACTTGGTAATTTTGTGGATGAAGGTGTGCAAAAATAAACCTCAGAGCTTTGAGTTGCAGCAGGAGTTTTCATGTCTTGTTGGTCAACTGGTGCCAGGGTGATGGTGATCATTTAATAAAATGAACTGGGAATTTTGTGAACAGGGCATTCTGATTCTACTACGAAGCAAGGATTTACTTGGAGAGCAAATTTTGTTTTTGTATTCTTTTGTAACTAGATTTCAGGTACTTAATGATTGGTGAAAATGAGCTCCAAAGTTCTGTTCTGATCCTTTGAGCGTGAACCTTGTAGAGTATCCTTATGATCGTATGAAAAAAAAAGGAGGGAGAAAGATACGGAGTTTGGTAAAGTTAGTTGTTAAGCACTTGTCCTCTAAAATAAGAAATTAACTTTAATCTTTTGTTTGTTACTTTGTCTACAGAAACCAGTGCGTTCTTAGAAAATCTTTATGGGGCCAGCTTGGCACGATGAATCTTGTAGTGTGCCTTTTTCTTTAGTGACATCCTATGCTATAAACACCAAGAGGTAGCAATGAACCAAAATTTTAGTTCACAGCTCTCTCTCTCTCTCTCTCTCTCTCTCTCTCTGTGGACCACTCAGGCCATAAAGATTTGAAACAGGAGAAGATAAAGCTTGAAGATTTTGGTTTTGTTTGCAAGCATTATGATGTTTACCCGCATATGTCTTTCCACGTCAAGTTTTGGTCACAAGATTTCTTTTTAGGGCGTAATATAATATGGCTGGCCTAAATGGCCATCTTCCATGTCGAAGTATCCCAAGCCTTGCTCTGTTTTTCTCTTTCTTTTTTCCATATTTAATTTGGAATCATAGAGTAGACACAAGCCTCCAGCTAACCTTCGCCCTTGCCGCCTAGAAATTGAACTACTTGAATTGCTCTCACAATGTGAAATAACAGTCGGGAATTTCGTGACTTGCTTGCATCATTATAAGGGAAAACCCCTTTTTGGGGCGAATGGCCGATGCCTGGTATCACAGTACATGACACGATGTCGATGAACAATTTACTAAATCATCATTTTCCAAATTCGTTTAGCTGCTTTGGATGTGCATTTTGTAGTAGGTTTAGGTTGCAACATCAACATGGGTTTCTTGTCTTTGTTCTCTAATGATTTCTTTTTTCTTTTGCCCTGTAATGAATAGTAAGAGCCAATTTGGTTTCAACTAAATAGAGGAAAACTGACATGAAAACCACCAGGTCTTTGTAGCCCTACAGACTTTGAAGAGACTCTGAAAACAACAGAGAAGGGAGAGACACCCCCCCTACAAATTGTGTCAAAATTTTGGGAAGGCCCCCTAACATGGAAAAAGCATCTAATGGGATGAAGAGGGGAGTGCAGCTATGGATATGCTCTTGGACTTGCGTATGTTTTTCTGTACATCGCTTGCACCGCTCTTGTGCCCACGGATGGGAAGTGATGAAGTTTTTCTTGGTGATATGGTATTAGGCTTTTTTAATGAGGCACGTTTTTGGTTAAGCCTCTTGCCATCTTTTCTACGAGGGCTCCATCCTTTGTTCCCTAATGCAGCTTTGGCTACACTGTTTGTGAGTACCTCTCTTGCTCTTTGTGGTTTGATGGACTGCTTGTTCAGGTACACTAGCTTCGGGAGGAAACTGCACACTGCCTTGCGCAGCTGCTCATCACCGATGTTGTTCTGGATTGGATTCCCTACCAGATTCAGAGCCTGCAGTGAGTTGTAGTTAGCCACCAGCTGTCCCATTGCCTTTGTTGTTGTTATCTTGTTGAAGCTCAGGTCCAGAACTGTTAACTTCAGTAGCCTATGCAGACCCTCGACATCACTGATCTTGTTCCCAGTGAGATAGAGCTCCTTGATTAGAGTGCAGCTTGATAACCCTGGCACCATTAAGATCCACAGTGAATCAGTGACCATTTGGAATAGTACATTTTATTTGGGAAAGCTTGTTTTCTAAGATCAATTAGATGGTTGAAAAGTTAGAATGATAAAGCTTACCACGTCCAATTCTAGAAATGCGGTTGTAACTGAGATCAAGTACACGCAATCGAGTTAAGTCTCTTAGTCCTTCAATGGTGCTGATTTTGTTCTTCGACAAGTTGAGCGTGTGAAGGCTCTTCGGCAGCGATCCTGGAGTGATGTGGGCTGCAAATTGAGAACAATTGCCAAGAAGCTTAGTACCGTTAACCAATATGCAAGTATTAACTTCTATGGTTTATTTGTTTTCTGCTATAGCAACATACCTAGGAAGTTGTTTGACAAGTTGATAGATCGAAGACTGCCAAAGCATGAAATGTTGGGGATAGCTTTCAATCCCATACCAGATATGTGAGCCACAGTTGTAGAAGAATTTAGAGTCTGGATCACAGTATTAGCGTGTAAAGTATCCTCGTCAAGACCTCGACTAAAGTAAGTTGCGCTTTTCGATCTAGTAGTCTCAGGACTCACCGGAGATAGAGGAGTCTCAGGAGTGGGCGGGGTCGGTGGGGTGATGAGTCCCTCGTAGTCATATTCATTATTTTCCGAGGGGTGCATTTTGAGATCTTTCACCCACTCTTGCACTCTTGTAGATGAGGATGTATCTGCTGAGAAAGCAACCCACTGGTTCTGAGGCCATAAAGCAGAGCCTCCAATGTTAAAACCATCCCAGCTCTTGTTGTCATCTGCAATATTCTTCCCCTTGTTCAATGATTCTACAGTATATGACAGAGGTGATTCCATCTTGACAAACTGCATAGCCTGGTTTGGTTCGAGTGTATCCGAAGAGTACCCTCCTTGCTTGTTCAAAGAAATGGGGCTAGGCTTTTTTTGTTTTGCAGTCCTTGTTTTGTGCAGGTTCCTGTGGCTCCAAAGGAACAACTTCCACCACAACTTTCTACTTCTAGAAGGAAGAACTTGGCTGGAAGAATGCTTCTTCAGCATCACTTTATCAGCAGTGAAGTGGGTTAACACAGAACCAGGGCTGCCAGGATCAACATACTTCGTCACACAGTCTGCCAATTCATGTAATTCTTCAAAATACTGACTCTTCGAAGCAGGGAACATAGATGACATCTTCTTAACCACATCCTTATGATGAGTTTCCAAATTAGAGCATGACCTGGTAAGCTTTGGTGATGCCCAAAACTCTGCCTTCCCTATGCCCGGATCACTAAGATGCCCGCTTTGAATCCTATCAACACCCCTATCACCTGAATCAGATTCAGATAAATCCATCTTCCCTAATGGAGTCACTTCACCTGAATTGGCTTCAGGGGTTTGCAGATGAGAGCAATCATTACAACAGTTTTCCCTCTCTAAGGGGTTCCCTTCATGCTCATCTTCCCCTTCATAGAATGCTGCTTCAACAAACTCAATAGGACTGTAAGGGCTCCTTGCCTTGCCACTAGGGGTAGTGTACTTCTTCTCAACACCATAAGGTATCAAGACTCCTAAAGTTGCTGGCTTCAAGGTCCCATCAATCTCCAAATGTTTCACAGGCTGTTGTTGAAGCCTGACTTGCAGGGTTCTAATTGCCTTGTCCACTTCAACAGGTCTTGCAGATTCATAATCTCTCTAAAATTAAACAGAAAAAGCGAAAAGAGGACGGAAATTGAGCGGATCACAATTCACAAAGTTCAACAAAAACTCACATGACAATAAAGAAACGAACTATATTGAGAGAGAGTCTCACCTGAACCTTCTTCTTCCGCCTAACTATCACAGAGAAGCAACTGAATTTTGTCATTTTTGATACAATAAATTCTGAATCCTAAAAAATACACCAAAACCCGAAAACACTTGTATTTCAGTCTGGTTTTGCCTGCTGTTTTCTTCAAAACTGAGCTCACATTCAAATTCCAAAAGTCTGGTTGTTGAGGCTTTACACTGATGTTAGTTGGACCAAGTGTTAACCATAATCAACAGGAAGGCACCAAATCAGTGACTGAGGCCACCCGAAACAGGGTTGATGACCAGAAAACTGAGGGCCAACACCTGCTTCGGCTCGAGAAAACTTTTCTGAATTGTCGGCCAGAGTTGTATATGCTGCAGCTCCTCTCTGGAAGCTTTGGGAAAATGTGTTTGTTCAAAAACCTTCTCTGTTCACAAAACAACAATAAATAATCGAACCCATTAGAAATACTTCCAAATCATTTTAAAAACCAACATTAGCTTTCTTTGAATCAAACACATGAACCTAATTCAGAGACAAATCCCGCATCCCCAGAAAACCACCAAGACATGGATGAACTTTATTGCAGAAAACAACCACTACCATACCAATTAGCATACAAAAACTTTTTGAAGCAACACGTGAAGATTGATACGTATTATGTACGGCCATCATTTTGTGGCAAAAAAGATTGGCCAAAAGAAAGACACAATCTTTACATATGTTACAGAGTTTTTTTACCTGCCAGAATTGCTTTAGTTTCCCAAAGCAACCGGTTACGAGCCTCTTTCTCGATCACAACGACCAACTTCACAATGTGAAAGAGAGAGGGAGGGTGGCGGTGGTGATGGACGAGCGCATTTACTCTCCACACACCCCACTGGACGAAAGTTTTCTGACTCTCGTCCTCTCTCCTGGTGCCTTTCAGGCGTTGAAGCTTCTTTTTGAATGAGAAGAAAGAAAGGTCTTGGGCTCCTTCCAACCTGAAAAAACGGCTTGAAACTCTCGTTTGAGCGGTGGTTATGGTTGTGGACTAATTAATCCACAGCCTAGAAAACACTAGAAATAGGCAAAGAGGAGAAGGAGAGATTTAGAAGATATAGAAGAGCCGCACAAGAAAAGGACATACGCGCATGTTACACGGTTTCTGTAGCATGTAACCCTGCCAATATAATATCCAGACCAGAATAACCTGCCATAATAAAACCAATATACTATAGAATTAAATAAATATATTTTTCACCTTACCTTCTATATCATCACCTTACTTATTGCCACAATAATGTGGTAGAATATCTTCTTAAATTTTCACCATTTAATATGATTCTTTTTTCATCGGGACCGTCTCGTGATGTTACCGATCCACATATGTTATAACTTATTATATGTGAATAGTAAAACATATTAGCAATCCGCATATTATAGCCTGAAGTACAATCATGTTGCATATCCTTATTATAACACAGTGGTGATTGATAACACACCTACATAGAAATCAACATAGACTTCCCTTCCTTACCACATTATTAAATGAGTAACCTAACACACACGGCGGAATATGAATCATGAATAAAAATATATAACATGCGGTATGTTCTAATTAGACATTGTGTCTTCATTGAAGGTTTTTAAATTCTCTTCATTAGGTACATTATTTGCATGTACAAAATTATAATTGTATTATAATAGTATAGTATACTACTTTGAAGTGCTAATACCACTTACCAATTTTTTTAAACAATATACACAATTATTAGGTTGAAATCTAATTCAATCTAAAACTGAATTTGTATTTAAACAAAATATCTGGTTACAATCCAACTTTACATAAGTATTTGACACGAGCGCATACTTCATTCACTAGTATGTAACCAAATTTGTATGGACAGTACTGATCTGGTGGTTCAATTCAATTAATTTTGTAACTGCTTGGTAGGGACAGATGATTAATCTTGAGATGTTTAGTACCTGGACGCAATTGTTGGGGTCCAGGAATTAGTCAGATGAGGGTCTTCGTATATGATTAGGACACCCAATTTTGTTTGCTGGTTGTAGTTTAATGCATTATAGGCATGTCCCATGTTGCCAATCAACTCACCTAATTTCACATCGCGCATATAATAATAACAATAATCTACTAATAAGGCCAAAATTCGGGTTCGTACGCAACACCGTGCAGGTCCGTTGATTCCTTTTGTGTGAACATTATTTCACCTCCTTCGGTCACTCTTTACGTGTTCCACCTTCATTGTCCTTCTTATTTGATCC